TGTGAGTGTGTGTGTGTGTGTGTGTGAGAGAGCGAGCGAGCGAGCGTGTGTGTGAGAGAGCGAGCGAGCGAGAGCGTGTGTGAGAGCGAGCGAGAGCGTGTGTGAGAGCGAGAGCGTGTGTGTGTGAGAGCGAGAGCGTGTGTGTGTGTGTGAGAGAGAGAGCGAGCGAGTGAGCGTGTGTGAGAGAGAGAGCGAGCGAGCGTGAGAGAGAGAGCGAGCGAGTGAGCGTGTGTGTGAGAGAGAGCGAGCGAGCGTGCGTGTGAGAGAGCGAGCGAGCGTGCGTGTGAGAGAGCGAGCGAGCGAGCGTGCGTGTGAGAGAGCGAGCGAGCGAGCGTGTGAGAGAGCGAGCGAGCGAGAGCGTGTGTGTGTGAGAGCGAGAGCGTGTGTGTGTGAGAGCGAGAGCGTGTGTGTGTGAGAGAGAGAGCGTGTGTGTGTGAGAGAGAGAGCGTGTGTGTGTGAGAGAGAGAGCGTGTGTGTGAGTGTGAGAGAGCGTGTGTGTGAGTGTGAGAGAGCGCGAGAGTGTGTGTGTGTGTGTGTGAGAGAGAGAGAGAGAGAGCGAGAGTGTGTGTGTGTGAGCGAGAGTGCGTGTGAGAGAGAGAGAGAGCGAGAGTGCGTGTGAGAGAGAGAGAGCGAGCGAGAGTGCGTGTGAGAGAGAGAGAGAGCGAGCGAGAGTGCGTGCGTGAGAGAGAGAGCGAGCGAGCGTGCGTGAGAGAGAGCGAGCGTGCGTGTGCGAGAGAGAGAGAGCGAGCGTGCGTGCGTGAGAGAGAGAGCGAGAGTGCGTGCGTGAGAGAGAGCGAGCGTGCGTGCGTGAGAGAGCGAGCGTGCGTGCGTGAGAGAGCGAGCGTGCGTGCGTGAGAGAGCGAGCGTGCGTGCGTGAGAGAGCGAGCGTGCGTGCGTGAGAGAGCGAGCGTGCGTGCGTGAGAGAGCGAGCGTGCGTGCGTGAGAGAGCGAGCGTGCGTGCGTGAGAGAGCGAGCGTGCGTGCGTGAGAGAGCGAGCGTGCGTGCGTGAGAGAGCGAGCGTGCGTGCGTGAGAGAGAGAGCGAGAGTGCGTGTGTGAGAGAGAGAGAGCGAGAGTGCGTGTGAGAGAGAGAGCGAGCGTGCGTGTGTGAGAGAGAGAGCGAGAGTGCGTGTGTGAGAGAGAGCGCGAGAGCGCGTGTGTGAGAGAGCGCGAGAGCGCGTGTGTGTGAGAGAGAGAGCGAGAGCGCGTGTGTGAGAGAGAGAGAGAGCGAGCGTGCGTGTGTGAGAGAGAGCGAGCGTGCGTGTGTGAGAGAGAGAGCGAGAGTGCGTGTGTGAGAGAGAGCGCGAGAGCGCGTGTGTGAGAGAGCGCGAGAGCGCGTGTGTGTGAGAGAGAGAGCGAGAGCGCGTGTGTGAGAGAGAGAGAGAGCGAGCGTGCGTGTGTGAGAGAGAGCGAGCGTGCGTG